GGTTCTTCTATGGCATCGCTTGAAGAACCTTTTGAAGCACCTTTATTTTTAAGAGTGTATTAATGATGTTATGCTTGGCTGGAGCTGATTCGCACCTGAGAACAAGCCTTAAAACCCATCATGACGGATGTAAAGATGGTAAACTATTTGCCCACCTTTTAAAATGGCTAGTTCACCTACAAAATAAAGACTTTGCAAAACAACCTGGCAAAGCACAAAACACTAAAGTGATTTAAAAACATTATCTAATATAAACTAAAACCTGACAAAAATTGAGTGAATTTCTGTGGAATGCTCCTGTGGGCATTAGAGGCTTTACAGGCCGTTGACAATGCAAGATAGGCCCAAGTGTCTTGAAGATGATGGACATGGTGGACACACAATAAAAATATAATTTAATAGTGGTCAACGAATGTCATGCTGTGTTCGCTATTTTCCATGCAAGGACAGAATAAAAAAAAGTCTTTTTTTATTTAAAGAGTCGTTTGATGAATCGAAAATGTAGTCTTGTGTTTACATTTTATTTTATTTTTTTTCTCAAATGGTCCATTTAAACCTTTAATACAATACAGGTTTGGAAATTCGTTTCTCTAGGAATCGAGAAAGATAAAAAAAAAAGAAATGGCACCAATGTTTGGACGTGTAGCCTATTTTCACTTGTGCTAGATTCATTTATTTATTTACATTTGATGTAACGGTCTTACAGGACAAATAATCAGTTTGCATTTTTGCACAGATGATATACATACTTCATGACAATGAAAAATACTACTATTCCCTGTTTATGGCCGTATATTTCATTGAGCTTCTCTCTACATTGTTGTTCTCCTCCATGAGTTTGTATGTCCCAGTGGTTTATTTGAAGACTTTAGAAGTCATCTTCAAAGCAAAGGAGCGAAGTTATTTCTTATCAGTCTGCTACACTCTTAAAAATAAAGGTGCTTCACGATGCCATAGAAGAACCTTTTTGTCTAAATGGTTCCATAAAGAACCTTTAACATCTGAAGAACCTTCCTGTTTCACAAAAGGTTCTTTGTGGTGAAATAAGGTTCTTCAGATTACAAAAAAAGGTAAGAAAGAGATGGTTCTTTAAAGAACCTTTGACTGAATGGTTCTTTGTGGAACCAAAAAAGGTTCTTCTATGGCATCGCTTGAAGAACCTTTTGAAGCACCTTTATTTTTAAGAGTGTATTAATGATGTTATGCTTGGCTGGAGCTGATTCGCACCTGAGAACAAGCCTTAAAACCCATCATGACGGATGTAAAGATGGTAAACTATTTGCCCACCTTTTAAAATGGCTAGTTCACCTACAAAATAAAGACTTTGCAAAACAACCTGGCAAAGCACAAAACACTAAAGTGATTTAATAAGTAAAAAACATTATCTAATATAAACTAAAACCTGACAAAAATTGAGTGAATTTCTGTGGAATGCTCCTGTGGGCATTAGAGGCTTTACAGGCCGTTGACAATGCAAGATAGGCCCAAGTGTCTTGAAGATGATGGACATGGTGGACACACAATAAAAATATAATTTAATAGTGGTCAACGAATGTCATGCTGTGTTCGCTATTTTCCATGCAAGGACAGAATAAAAAAAAGTCTTTTTTTATTTAAAGAGTCGTTTGATGAATCGAAAATGTAGTCTTGTGTTTACATTTTATTTTATTTTTTTTCTCAAATGGTCCATTTAAACCTTTAATACAATACAAGTTTGGAAATTCGTTTCTCTAGGAATCGAGAAAGATAAAAAAAAAAGAAATGGCACCAATGTTTGGACGTGTAGCCTATTTTCACTTGTGCTAGATTCATTTATTTATTTACATTTGATGTAACGGTCTTACAGGACAAATAAAAAGCATTCGCGCTTCAAGCATCAGGCTTAAATAAACAGCTGCTGAAGGCACAGCCCTCCTTACACCGGAGGATTGCTATTGAGATGTGTCGCAAATAACGTTCAGGAAGCTTTTTTTGTCTGCTTACGCCTAAAACCCATGAGATGAGATGGGCTGCGCTCTTTGCCTTAAACTAAAACACCACGACCGTACTGAATTCATCTAGCAACGCATTGTGTGATCAGGTAAGCACTGAAAAATTCCTGTTGGCAAATGAGCAGTTGTGGAATTTAAAGTGATTGATAGGTTATTAAACATAATTCTTAAATCAGGGTTTCGCTAAGAGCAAAATCACAGTTCGCGCGTTTCCAGTTTTGCATGAAGTTTCATACCGTACTCACGAATTTAACATTAATAATAGCTGATTGACTCATCTCAGCACTGTTTTATCGGTGCAAATTTAAACGATTTCATTTGCAACGCTTGGTATTTAGTTGATGACATTTAGTTTGTCAATTGGGACGTACATGAACGAACAGTGAAAAGCATTGCGTTATACACTTTTTAATATAAGGTGGTTGTTCAGAGAAATGCAATATTTTTCTCTCGTAGCTTCTAATCAGTATGCTATATATTTAGGATTTACATTAAAAATGAACAACCATGAACGAACAGTGAAAAGCATTGCGTTATACACTTTTTAATATAAGGTGGTTGTTCAGAGAAATACAATATTTTCTCTCGTAGCTTCTAATCAGCATGCTATATATTTAGGATTTACATTAAAAATGAACAATAAAAGCACATACGGTCAGGATTTTTATTGTTTCTTACTCTCTATTTTATTCTGAGAGTTAGGCTACTTCATGTAGGCTATCCTGACAGACTGACGCGATTCTACTGAGAAGGACATAACATTATTTGGTGCTGAGGTTAATGACTTTTTAGTGTTCCGTATATTAGCCTAAAGTCCGTTTAGGTTTCTGTCACTATACGGGTAAATATAACTGTATAAAGGACTACAAAAGGCTATATGATTCTCAAGTAAAAGTGAGATAATGTTTGAACATCAGTCAAGATATTTCCTGCATTATCGGTATCCTATCTACCGGATGCCCTGAAGTGTCAGGTCTAATCGACGGAGGGCACATTGCGCTTTGCTGTTGGCCAGTATGCAGACATCTCTACTGCAGATCCTGGACTATGCGATTGTAGGTCTCAGTGTTCTGATGGGCGAGACAGACTTCATAAATCCATACAGATTGGTCAAAAAGTGACCGAGACATGTCCAAATTAGTTGAAGCCGTAAGTAACTTCCATGTAGGCCTACACTCTTAAAAATAAAGGTGCTTCAAAAGGTTCTTCAAGCGATGCCATAGAAGAACCATTTTTGGTTCCACAAAGAACCATTCAGTCAAAGGTTCTTTAAAGAACCATCTCTTTCTTGCGTTTTTGTAATCTGAAGAACCTTATTTCACCACAAAGAACCTTTTGGGAAACAGAAAGGCTCTTCAGATGTTAAAGGTTCTTTATGGAACCATTTAGACAAAAAGGTTCTTCTATGGCATTGTGAAGCACCTTTATTTTTAAGAGCGTACACGGTTCGCTCACATCAGTTTACAGCTTTTTCCCTTATTATAACAGACTGCGCTCTAGTGAAGTGAAGCGATTCATTTAGGAGGAGTCAAAGGCAGGTGAGACAGACTGATGGACTGGCTATGGGCTCCCACTGATTGTCTGCCGCACGAGCTGAATGCGTGTCCCTGTTGTGTCCACGACCGATCACCAGCGTCCACGAACCTCGAGAACACCGTGACCCCGCTGGCGTGTGGACAGCTTTATTTCAAGGCTTCAAAAACCACGTTTTACTTTATCACTTCGATTAATGAATCCATAGTCAAATTCAAGAGCAGCATTTTAAGATATTTAACTTTAAGCCGCATTCTAATTTCGGCTGTGAACTAGACTTAATTTAGTTGATTTTCTATTTTTAAAATGTAAATAGACTAATTCTTTAAAATAAGTATATTATTAAAAATGTAACTTTAGAAAAGGATTACATTGAGCCATCTCAAACGTTTAATAGGCTATGTGCTTATATGTATGCATGCTTTCAAAACTGGGTTTATATTGCTAATTTGTTTAGTTTTGGCATTGCGCTGAAGGTCATGACAATTCAATGGGTTTATTAGAAAGATAGCCCAATTTAATGCTGATATTTCTACAAATGTCAATTTTAAATCATTTTTGTTTTCTCTAGGCTACAAAATCATAACTATTCTGGACAAACGTGACAAAACAAGGTAAAGCCATTAAGAGAGGAGACACTTTTTGTACAGGAGGGGGCGTGGTGACGATAACAAAGTTGACACGTCTGAAACTAAAATGAAACAAAATCTAGAATTATAGAATAAATACAAAACGTATTTCTAATTAAATGTTTTTTATTTTTTGAATCAAAGTGTGAATTTTTGCTAATACAGCAAACGAACATAGCCTATATTAAAAGAAAATAAATGTTATACTCCATTTTTGATGTTTAAAGGAAAATGCCTGCAATAACAAGGTGTGTTAGCATTTACACATGTATTCATATTTACACATATTAAAGAAGGACACAAAATGCACCCTTGTGGATTATCCATCAATGATATCCATATTGTTAACTTACAAAAAAAAGTTAACAGCTGATCCTTAACGCACGAACCTGCACAAATCTATAGATGGAGAAGGCGCAGGCTGGGTTGCCGTCTCCGCGTTTCCTCTCCCCTGCAGCTGGGGATTGAGTAACACATTGATAAAACAGTGTATCACTTATCCTGATAGCCACGGTCCCCCCCGGACCTGTCTGTCCTCTCGTAGAGGGACGGACCAATCACAGGCCTAAGGCTTGGTAGTTGTTCCTTTAAAGCACCTGTCTTCATAACACCTGGCAGACGAGAGAACTGCTTTACGCATGCTCCCACCCTGCCATATCCTCTATACAGACGTGCTGCTCAACCAATGGTCTTCAAATCTTTTCAGAGATAAAAAGCTGCCGCATCCGTGGAGCTGACAGATTGCCCGATATTCACTAATGACTGAGCACATAGGAGGAAGGACCCAGAGGAGACACAATGCCTAGGTCTTTCTTGGTGAAGAGCAAAAAAGCACACAGCTACCACGAGCCGCGATCTTTGGAAGATGACTACAACAGACTTGATACTATTTTAGCTCATATATGTGCAGGTATGTCAAAATTATATCGATCTGCTGATAATGCAAAATGCATCGCAATTATCAAACATGTGAAACAAAAAGTGTATATAGGAGTCTGATAAAAATGCTCATTTTAGATGAAAATTTCAGATGGCACTTAGAGGCTTTTGCATCTGAACTCTTCATATATAGGCCTATATATATATCTACCCGTCTAAGTCAGAAAGCGATGGTAAAATAGCGGGCGTACGATAGTTTTTACATTTGTAGGGGGGAGACTATAGATTATAGATTTTGGTTGGCACGATCAAGCATACGTTGTACCCATGTTCGTGAACTGTTGTGAGATAAATGTTTTATATAGGCCTAACTGTGGTTTTGACGAGAAAAAAATCTCCTAACAGAAAGCAGAACTTCAGATGAGTCCGAGTGCTGTACGGATGCCCTGACAGGCGACACGACTGGCGCTTGTTCACCGGACTCTCACCTGGTGGATCAAGCGGATCTATCCTCTAAGTCTCCTCTCAGCAGTGGGGGAAGTGTGTGCGACCGCTCCTCAGATTACGAAGACTTTTGGCGACCTCCATCACCATCAGCATCACCGGGTGCGGGTAGCCTATATCTCTTAACGTAGGCTATAGGCTATTTAAGATAGCTATCTGAAGTTCATCAACTTGATCTACAGTGTGAATGCATGTGATTTAGTTTTTGTATGCGTGTCCGTTATACGGCTATAGGCCACATAATTATTTTGTTTATGAATATAGGTCTACTTGTCAGCCTGTTCTTTAACGTTTTGTTTTTTACCAAAACATTTTACCTGGTGGAAATTATTTGCACGAGGTAGTAACGTTATTGGGCTGCTTGGGCACGTTTCATTCGTTTCGGATCATACCGGACGGAATTAACACAACAGTAGCCTATTTATCAAATATAATAAATAAATAAATTAAAAACCCGTTTTTTAATAAGTAGGCTATTTACGATATTTACGAATTTAACCTTAACAGAATTAGACACAAATCGCACGTAACATAGCCTACAGGCTATTCATTCTAAATGACTTAAAACAATTTGACCCTGTGCTACACTGCTACATCACTGTATAATCCTAAACCTAACGATTTAAAACTTCGAAATTATTAAATGATCGATTTTTTTTTTTTTTTACAGAGTCAGAAAAGTCCTTTTCACCCTCTGGTGAAGAAACGCAGCCATTCGCCGTCCCCTTCAGGCCTTATGCATGGAGCAAGTACTCGGGCTATGAAATCAGACAGCTGGTCCAGCATACTCTCAACCATCACCGCTCTCTGGATCTCGAGCGGCCTACTCCTTCAGCCTATTACAATGATCGCGTGGTCGAGTCCTCTCTTTTCAATGAAAGAGGATCTGGCGCTAGCATTTACAACAGTTATGGTTCCACTGCCACCCTGTTCGAGCGCTCCACTGCCTCTGGACTCTATGATGACAGCGGCAAACTGGGAAAAGAAACCGAGATGAAATCCAGCTCTGATGTGATGTGTAGTCGTCTCCTGCTAAATGGCGCATTCAAATGTATAAAATGCAGCAAGGTAATGTAGCCTCGCTCGGATTTTTAAAACTCACGATTAGACATTATTAAAGGTTTTCCTCTATGTTCCACAGGTGTTTTCCACACCGCATGGCTTGGAAGTTCACGTTCGGAGGTCGCATAGTGGAACAAGACCTTACGCTTGCGACATCTGCGGGAAAACGTTCGGGCACGCTGTCAGTCTGGAGCAACACAGAGCTGTTCACTCACAGGTAAAGTGCTCGAATTTTGTTCTTATTTGGGGGCAATAATGAAAACCATAGCAAACCTGTCTAAATGAAATGCAAAAATGAATTTGTAAAAACAAGCATTTCATCCCACAGGAGAGAAGCTTTGATTGTAAAATCTGTGGGAAAAGTTTTAAAAGATCATCTACTTTGTCCACGCATCTCCTCATACACTCCGATACACGGCCCTACCCGTGCCAGTACTGCGGAAAGAGGTTTCACCAGAAATCAGATATGAAGAAACACACATTCATCCACACAGGTAAGCTCAATCTAAAGAACTTTATATCTATAGACCTTTGGAGAAAAACGCTGACGTATGGATTTTCTCTCCCAGGGGAGAAGCCACACAAATGTCAGGTGTGTGGGAAAGCTTTCAGTCAGAGCTCCAATCTGATAACACACAGTCGAAAACACACCGGATTCAAGCCGTTTGTATGTGACCTCTGCGGCAGAGGATTCCAGCGCAAGGTCGATTTAAGAAGACACAAGGAGACACAACACGGACTGAAGTGAGGAAACACTTCAGGACTTTACCCAACACTATTGGACAACCCATTGGGACTTTAATAGTCTTTTTAATTTAACAAGCTACAAATGCTCATTCATAAAACATAAGCTGAAATCAGTGTTTTAGAGAAGGCGACTTATAGCGTTTACATTCGTTGTAGAGCTGTTTGCGCTTTGTGAGATTTGCCTACGAGTCAGCAGCAGGCCAGCAGGTCTGGCAGCTTTCATGGTGATGTTATACAGGGTATCTTGATCCGAATCAATAGCCCGCTTCAGAGACATGCCAGGCATCGTGTCTGAACCCAAAATATTATCACCAAAATAATCAGGGACGAAATATAACCGCCGCGAGAAAGGACACTGTATCACCCAAAATATCAGCTGAAGGAGAGAAAAATCACCGCATCTCACAAGAATGTCACTTTGTTGTCAACGCTGCAAAGGGAGTGCTGGCAAAACAAGCACTACAATAGACTGCGAGATTTCATCAATAAAAGGATTGTTTGTGTACTACAGCCCAACTTAAGTGATTTGGCAACTTGTCGAAGCCTTTCCATTCATCATGTTTTTTCTTTTCTATTTAGAGTCGTTTTCTTTAGCGTAAATAGAAAAATATAGCCTATAAAAACTCGAATGTCTATACAATTCAATTGTTTTATATCATTTACACTATTTCTCGGAATAAAGATTATACGGAGAGATATTTCGAGTGTGTGTTATTTTCTTTTTTGTGTAATCAAGGTTTGTATAGTGTGTCATACAGATTTATAAATCTCTATAGTGCGCGCAACGAATAACTTATCTTGAGCTATAAGCAGAGGCTTTTTCATTTCATGATTGTAAATGAAAGTGTTTCATTATTTTAAATATCCATTATTTCATTACTTGTTTAAAATAAAAATGATTTATTCGAAACAACTGTGTTTCGCAATCGGTGCATATTTTCAAGGTGAGAAATAGGCCTATTGGGAAGACCAATAAATAGGTTCATGCGAAATCAAGAATTATTTTATATTAGAAAGGAAAGGGAAGAGAAAACATGGAAAAATAAAGATGATCGATTAGTCTTATGTCCTCAAATACAATAAAATCTCAGTAGCCATACTTATTCACTGTCACAAAATAGATCAATTGAAAACCAAGAATAATTCATGCTGGTTGTGTTATTCATTAAAAAAAAGTTTTTATATCTGACGCTCGAAGTAGCCTAGCCTATATTTTGAATATTTGTATTTGTCCATTTGGTTTCAGACAATATAGATTGTCAACATTTTCAACGATTTATTGCACAGCCCGAGAAATGAATGTCACCTTTAAATTTATTGAACACTCTTCGATTTATACGGTTTATTTTTTATTTAAATTAATTTATAATCAACTGCAGCAATGATGAATTACCAAAATCTCACATTTTATAAATCGAAAGTTATACCTGTTTTTCAATATCATGGACGCAAATGTCGTCAAATCAAACGTCTATTTGTTTTTCTAGCTATCTTATCTGACCATGAAAATAATTATCCCCTTTTATTTACACTCTAAACACTCTTGGATCTCTCCTGTTAACCAAACTGAGTGTAAATAAAGAGAGTTTATTCAGCAGGAACTGTTCCCTCTATACCCGCCGAACAATAAGGCGGGTCTGTGCACTCTGCTTCCCTGCAGTCTAAAATGGCCCCGGGATATAACGTCAACTTTCTAGGGATCTGGCACAGTGGAGGTAAATAATGTAAGGTCTAAATTCTGTTTCCAACAGCGCAACCGCCCATATATGCCGGAAAAACAAAAAATCGTAATTTCCCATTTTCCAAAAGTAGGCTACCCTCAACAGTCGAGATCAAATTATATTAGGCCTATATATAAGTTTTTGTACAGTAGGAAGACACAATCAAAGAACACTAAGCACCATTTAAAAAATTGATTGAAATCACTAACTTTTTATGGCTCAAATCTTACTGCATTTATGCCCGTGAAAATGCTGAATATTTTAAAACCCTGAAGATTTGACTGCGGGGAACATGAAAATCCATATTTATTCCAGAGAAAATAGAGGTAAGCACACACACAGCTGTGGGATTTACATGTCCTGCTGCTGTTTGGAAAATCGAACATGCCAGAGGAATTAGGACAATATTTGGTATGTAATCCGCTCCTTCTTTTTTTCCACTTTATCAACAGCATTCATAATTGTCAGATTGACAGAATTGTAGTTATATTTCAAGACATCATTTAAAATGCAGCTTTAGTCATTTCACTATTAGAGAACATTACAGTGTTGTGTGTAAGAGTGTTGAAGTACAGTGAGCATATGGATGTGGTTTTGCACTGCCTTAAGGTAGGTCAGTATCCACCCCACATTTTTCAATCCTCTGCAGTTCACTCAGAGGGAAAGTGCAAGCCGCAAGTGGACCATTAGGCCAGGCCAGATTTCAGTGAGGATTTTAAGACCGTTGCCCCACAGCCTCTAGGCATATCAAATATGAATAGAAGAAGTTCTGAAAAGAGCCCAATCAATTTCAGTGGGCGAGTAATCAGAGCACTTCAGTCTTTGGCTTACACACACACACACACACACACACACACACACACACACACACACACCCCTGCACTAACAAAACAAAACATAAAGGTTGCAATAATCTGTCTGGTAATTTAAACATAGGTTTAAAGAGATATACATGGAAATATTCACATGGTGGTGCATTAGAGAAGTAAATACATGGTTAGGATTATCTCAAATTAATGTCAGTTACAAATAAAATATGAAGGATATCAAGTTTTGCTTAGGTTTTAGATGAGAGACCTAGTTTTAATTTAAGAATCAGCCTCCACAGCAATTCAGTACCTTAAAGCAACAGTTCACCCAAAATGATTCTGTCATTGTTTACTCACCCTTGTCGTTTTAAACTTGAATAACTTTCTTTTGCAAATACAAAAGCAGATATTTTGATGAACCAGACAGTTTTGGTTACCACTGACTTCCATTTTAATGGACAAAAAAAAAAAACCCTAAGAAATTTCTCAAAATGTCATATTTATGTTCTACAGAAGAATGAAAGTCAAAAGTTTGGAATGACATGATGGTGAGTAATTGTGTATATTAAAAAAAAATACTTATTTTGGTTTTGGATAAACTATATATTTTGAGCAAATACAACATTTTTGATGTACATGCATCACAGTGCAGTTTTATTACGTGTATTGTTATGGCTAATAATTTCAACATTTTTATGAAAGCAATTAAGCATAAACATGACTGTATGGACCACCTGTGAAACATATTTTGTTTTTTTATCAAAGATGAATTACTCGGCAGTCCCTCACTCAGCCAGATGAACAGAAGTGATAGAAGAAATGCAGGGCGTCTGCACCCCTGTGATGGGATAGCTGTGGAAGGTCTCAGGGAGACAGGGCTCAGATACTGTGTTCTTTTGTTGTGGCGCTTTATTCATTATTTACTTGATCTGAAAAATAGACTGCAAGACAACTGCACAGCTGTCATCAGGCAGTAGGGTGAGGATACAAATTATTCATGATTTTAGAAAGAAAGGTAGATAGAATAAAGAGAGAGAAAAAACATAACAGGGAATTTGCTTGGCACAGATGACAGACCCTCACACTATCTGCGTGAAGAACAATTTGCACAGGTTTTTATGAATTATACTAGATGGATATATATATATTTTTAAACAAAAATTTTTATTTTTTTTATTAGAAATTTCAATGGTAGAACTATGTATGTGTATATGAAATTTTGCATTTGAATGTTATGTATATGAGATCTAAAAACTACAAAATCTCCAAAAACATCAATAAAACATAATTAACAAAACTTTTTGTGATAGTTTTGTGCAAGCGCTTTACAAATGATAACGCTTTTATAACAGGATATATAATATGCAAAAAAAAGTACAATAACTCTATTGTTTACTTACAGAGACACACTGACACACTAAGTAAAATAAATAAATCCATGAATTAAAACGTATTTTCAATAGCAAAGTCTGATTTGCCTTAAACTCTGCATCAGGTTACAGTGTGTGAGGCCATCAGTGTAAAGTGTCTGTCTGCTCCTATTCATCCTATTCCAGCTTGACATGACACCTCAGTACAGACTCAGGGGAACAGGGAGCATTTTTCCAGTCTGCTCTGGGATGTCCCATCTGAGCCTGAGTACCACGCTTTTACTGCCTAAACGCCACACACTTTTGTTTTGAAGTCCTTGTTGTTTTCAGGACTGTTTAACAAGGTAAGTCTCCTGAGTCCTGGCACGCTCTAAAGTCAGTCACTCTGAAGAGTCAGTTGGGGTTGAAGTATATGTGTGAGAGAGAGTGTAACAGACAAAAGCTAAGTGTAGGGGGTCTTAGTAAAAATGGGTAAGACCAGTGGTGATTGGGAGACATTAGACCTGGGTGAGCGGCCAAATGTGAGCTGACGTTTTCCTTCAGGTTTAAGGCCCTGAAAGCTTTTCCATTAGTTATCTCGCAGAGGGGCCCACCAACCCCTGCACAGCACGCAGTCGGCGTAGAGAGCCCCCATCAGCTGCTGAAAGGTGCTCATTTAAAGACATGTTTATCTGCTTCATTTAGCATTACATATCACTACCACTATTTGGATGCTAGCTGTCGCTCACAAGGAGACGTAAAGGGATGTTTTATTTGTTTCGGCTTTCTCTAGACTTGTAAAAATTTGAGTTTTAAATATTATGTTCAAAATATATACAAATAAAATGGTAGACGTGTAAATAGAATGTATGTAATAAATGTTCAGAAATCAGTTTTCCAATCAGACAGTTTCACTTACGAAACTTACGAAAACAATGGAAGATATGTTGAGATGTGATTGAGACTAAGAACTAATGGAAAGTATACCTAAAAAAAAAAATCCCCCAATTTTTTACATTTCCCAGAAATCTACCTCCACTACCCCATCAATAAGTCAAATTTCCTCGACATTATATCTAATTCGTCCTGCTATATAGGGAACATTTTATTTAGCCGGAGTACATCAGTATAGTTCTGTTTCATCAACATTTAAAGAGTAATCTAATAGCATATGAATCCTGACAAAAGCACTAAAAGGATTCATGTTAGTAAAAGGTTGAACAAAAAGAAAGTCTCAGGTCAGAAACAAATACAATGTGACAGACAGGCCCAGGCTGCACAGTTACAGTAGAATTAAAAGCTCTAAAATCTTTTAAGTAACAGTCAGTGCATTTCTATGTCTAATAACATTGCCCCGTCCCCAATTCAAGAAAAATAAAGTAAAGTTAAAGTGAGTTTTGTAAGGTAATATTTCAGCATATTTTAAGTTTATAACACTAGAATATTATTAGCAGTTATCCATCAATGTCACTCAGCTTAAATCCCTCCTCTATAAACAACATGATTTTCAGAATAGTGCAATGCAGCCTAAAAGGTTGCGAACTGATACAATCCTCCACTTAACCAGGCCTGACTAAAGCAATGAACCTCTCTGAAAAATTCATAAGATCCATTTCACAAAATACCAAGCCAAGCAAAAGGATGTATCAAACTAGAAGAGAGAAGGAGAGAGGGATGCAGGCAAGCTGATATGTAGAGACTAAGAGAGGGAGAGAGAGAGAGTGCAAAA